GTTCGATGTAATCAAAGCTGACCTTATATTTGATAAATTATATAAGGATAAGCAGATAAAGTTGAGCGATAAGCATAAATTGTCAAGCCCTGAACAAATTAAGAGTAAAAAATGTTGTAAGGGCATAATGCATGGACACATTTGACTAACAATTACTTGGTTTTTGTCATATGTTACAGGATGCCATTGAATCAAGACGAATTACGTTCGATGATAAGAAGAAGATGGCAGTAGATGAAAATCCTTTTCCACAGCCACTTGGAGTGAATATGGTGACGGCTGGTTTCAAAAACAAGTTGCCAAAATTCAAGTTGGTTATAGATGATGGAGAAGAAGACCTTGGACTACATCCCAGTGTCTTTGAGCATATTAAAGGGAAGGAGCCAAAAAAGGATAAAGACGTCTTGTGTGCAAAATGTAAAGGAGAAGTGAGTGGGAATACGAAGAAACCAGGGATATGACAGCATCCCCATCGCCCTACTTTCTTCCCAAACGCTCAGCCCGGTAGAGGGCGAGGTACATCGTTCTATAAGAGACCGCCTTTTGAGAGGCAGTTCAGTCCAGTAAATAATGGGAAAACATTCAGGCCGCAACCTCGCCAACCAAATGTGTGGCATTCATTCCAGTATAATGCAGGAAAGATGATACCCTTCAACGAGATGACTAGAACCCAACAAAAGCGTTTCCAACGAAATTATGGACGAATGATGAGGCAACAACAGGGAGTGCCACGTCCTAAGGCGCCTAAACTACTCGAGGTAGCCAATCAAAATGTTCTCAAAGACAGTGAAGAGACTGTACAGATGAATCAATGAAAGAGTTGCCAGAAACTTCTTCTGGGAGATCGAAGTTTGAACGAGACAGAAAGGATGAAAAAGATCTAGATCAGCCCCTTACTATTCAGCTCGGTACGTTACCTCCTGTCATGGCTAATAACTATTTAATAGCTAATGAGTTCAAGAATAAAGAGAAAGAGGAAGAAGAAAGAGAGGAAAACGAAGGAGAAGCATGCGTGCTGGAATATGAAGAAGGCCAGACTTCTAGAGAGGCCTACAATGGTGAGGAAGATGATGGTATGATAGACATTGAAGAGAAAATCGATCTGCAAGCGGAAAGAAGAAGGAGGGGAGTATCGTACAATATTCTATTGAAGCAACTATATCGAGAGGGAGTTCGTGAAGTAGACTTATTGGGAGAACCATTTGGGCGTTCTTTCGATTTTTACGTGCTGTACGGGACGTCCAAAAGGAAGAAGAGAGTGCCTCGCTTTGAGAAGTATGGATCACCTCCAAAAATAATGCCTCCTCCCACAGGTTGGGTAACTGAAGATGAAGCATTAGAAAACAGTAAAAAGGAAATTCAGGAGATAGAGGCTCAGTGCGATATGCTGCACGTTGACTTATCACAAAAGGATAACTCGACAGAGGACAAGCAGGAGGTAGAAATAGAAGTTGCCGAAAAGGTTATTTTTAAGCGGCCAGCCATGAAATTGACTAAACACTTGAGGCCATTGTACGTTAAAACTCTAGTTAACGACGTACCTGTGGCAAAAGTGCTTGTTGATAATGGAGTAGCTATAAACACCATTCCATCTAGGATGATGAGGAAATTTGCAAAGACAGAAGGGGATATGATTCCAACAGAAGTCATCCTTACAAGTTTCAATGGAGGAGCAACTGCAGCTAAAGGAGTTATGTCATTGGACATAACTATAGGGACAACTACTAGGACCACAATCTTCTTTGTAATATATGGTCCTACTAGTTACAATGTGTTACTAGGAAGAGATTGGATACACGGAAGTCGCTGTATACCCTCATCGCTCCATCAATGCCTGGTTTTTTGGAATAACAAGGGTGAAGCAGAGGTAGTGTAGGCCGATCATAGGCCTTTTGTCGTAGAAGCAAACTCAATGGAAAGGTTCATGTACGAAGGAAACTATGGACCTGTCAGGGTAGTCCAAGATGGGGAAGAAACTCAGATTGTCGCGCAGAGTGAAGACCGATTTTCAGTGGATGCACTCACTGAATGTTCAGTCAGATGAGGCCAAATATAGTAGCCCTAGAAGAGCCAGTAATTGACAAAAGAATAATCAAGGAGTCTTGACTGAGTTCTAAGCAACAAAAGCAAATGGCCGATATTCAGGCCTTCAAAGCCAAATTAATGGCTTTCAATAAAGAATGTAAGGACAAGACGAAAGAAGATGCAACCCTGAAAGCATTGAAAGACAAATTAGCAGTATTCGAATTGGAACAAAGTATTGGCCGAGAAGTCAACAAGGTGGATTGTTTAGAAGAAGAAGAAGTGCTTACAAGGGAGCTTGACGATGAAGTAATGCGGATCATCAAGCCTGGATATGCTCAAGTACAAGACCATCTGATTAAAGTAAATATTGGCAATGAAGGAGAAGATCGTCCAACATTCATCAGCCAGATGCTCGATCAAGAGGTTAGTGATAAATTAATCGCTTTGTTAAAGGAATATAAAGATTGTTTTGCTTGAGAATATGAACAAATGCCTGGTTTAGATAGAGACTTAGTGGAACATAGATTACTAACTAAGTCTAATTTTAAACCTCATAGGCAACCTCCCAGACGTTTTGCTCCTAATGTACTCCCTGAGATTAAGGAAGAGATAGAGCGATTATTAAAAGCAGGTTTTATTAGAATAGCCAGGTATGTCGAATGGTTGTCCAATATCGTGCCAATACTAAAAAAGAATGGTAAAATAAGGGTGTGCATAGACTCTAGGAATTTAAATATAGCCACACCCAAATATGAGTATCCAATGCCCACGGTAGATTCTTTAGTAGACTCAACTGCCGGATACATCATGTATTCTTTCATAGATGAGTATTCAGGATATAATCAAATTTATAAAGTTGAGGAAGACATACACAAAATTATCTTTAAATGCCCTGGGTCTCTAAGATGTTTTGAATGGATAGTCATGCCTTTCGGCCTGAAAAATGTAGGAGCAACTTATCAAAGGGCAATGAATTTAATTTTTCATGATATGATAGGCAAGTTTATTGAAGTGTATGTAGATGATATAGTGGTCAAATCCATTAAAGAAGAGGACCATTTCGAACAGTTAAGATATTCATTTGAGCGAATGAAGCAATATAAGTTAAAGTTAAATCCCTTGAAATGTGCATTTGGTATTAATGTAGGGAACTTTCTTGATTTCTTGGTACACAAAAGAGGGATTGAACTTGATAAAATAAAGCGAAGGCCATTCTAGAGGCCAAACCACCTAGCAACAAAAAAAAATTGCAAAGGTTTCTAGGCCAAGTAAATTTTTTAAGACGCTTTATTTCTAACTGTGTAAGGCGAACTAAAGTCTTTTCGCCACTTTTAAAACTGAAAAATTAGGACGAATTCGTCTGGAGAGAAGAACATCAAAAGGCTTTTGAAAGCCTGAAGACATATTTATCAAGTCCACCAGTGTTGGTGTCACCAATCCAAGGACGGCCAATGAAAGTGTATGTATTGGCTAAAAAAGAATCAATAGCTGGAATGGTCGCGCAAGAAGACCAATTTGGTGAAGAGAGGGCGATTTACTTCTTGAGTAGACGGTTGACAAAATGTAAATGTAATTACTCCGCTATCGAAAAATTATGTCTTGCATTGTATTTCACATGTTCAAAATTAAGGGCTTATTTACGGCCCGTAACCGTTTATTTGATTTCTAAAGTAAATTTGATTAAGTATATGTTCTCTCGCCTTATTTTACACCAAAGGGTATGCATTTGGACGTTAACTTTATCAGAATTCGAAATACAATACATACCTTAAAAGGCAGTCAAAAATCAGGCTTTGGCTAATTTTCTAGCCGATCATCCATGCCTCGACATGCTTGAAGAAATTGAATTAGAAATCAATTCGTTCGAACTAAAATCTTGGGTGTTGTATTTCGATGGGTCAAAAACCTCTAAAGGTGCAGGAGTAGGAGTAGCATTGATAAATCCTTTAGGGATTTGCTACAAGTTCGCATTCACTTTGGATAGGATGTGCACCAACAATTAGGTCGAATATGAAGCCTTAATCGTGAGCCTAGAACTAATGATAGACATGGGGGTAAAGAATGTAATCATTAGAGGCGATTCTCAATTGGTAAATCACCAATTGATTGGTGATTTTAAATGTCAAAGTAATTCCATCATGAGTCAATATGAAATCGCCCAAGAGTTGTTAGAAGAATTTGACCAAGTAGAACTTCAATGCGTCAATAGGATATATAATGACGTGGCAAATGAGTTGGCCCAGATGGTCTCAGGGTACTCAAAGGTTTTAAATTAAAAGTCTACTTGTGAGTATGGAACCATATTACCCGTGATCCAAAGAAGGGCGAGAACGATTGAAATTCATTGCATACAAGATGGAGATACAATAGATTGGAGGGTAGAGATTAAGGAGTTCCTTAAAAAATCTAATAAAGGAGAC